TTCTCTAGACTCGGGGTCTGCTGGGGGTCTCCCCAGGGACCAGAGGTTTCCTCCTGAGTCTCACTGGCTGCTGTCCCAGTCCCCGGGTCCCTGCTGGCTCCAGCCAGGGAGCTGCAGGCCGGGCCCCCGAGGGCCTCCTCAGAGCTGCCCAGGGGCATGGGGTTCCGCAGGGCCTCCATGTACGACTCCCTGAACCAGCGTCTAGGCGGCACACAACTGGAGTCCCCTGGCGGCCGCCTCCTGCTGCTCGGGACGTCCAGGTCTGTGTGGAAGGTGAGGGTCTTGGGGCCCTCCTCCTGGTCCGGCTTCTGCTCCGATCCCCCGCAGTTCTCAGGGGGCATCCGTGGGCCCTGCTCTGAGGGGCTGACCTTTTCGAAGTCCCTGTCTGAGCTTCCAGACAGGGTCCGGGGCCTTCCCAGCTCGGCTCTTTCTGGGTAAGGAAGGTGCCTGAGCTGGTCGCTGCCCACACGCCCTCGGCGGCAGGGTGGGGTCAGGGTGTCGGGGGAAGGGGTGCTTCCCTGGAAATGGGGGCCTGCCATGGCTTGGGTGGGGGCTGGGGCCTCTGAGGGGCTGCTGGGCAGCTGCTCGGGACCTGTGCAGCTGGAGCAGCTCTGCAGGATGGCTCCAGGGCTGGGGACAAAGACAGGGTTAGTGATGTCGCTCCACGGGGCTCGGTGGACAGCCAAGCCTGAGGTCAGCAGGCAGGTGCGCAGGGGAACGTGGCTCCGTTCCTGGTTCACCCACTCCAGGAATGGCCCCGTGAAGACACAGCCATACATGGCCTCAGGGATGGCGACTTCCTCTGTGCCCCTTCCCAGCCGGGACAGGCATTTCAAGACCAGTCTAGCTGACTGCTTCCCCGCCGATGTGACCTGCAGGTAGAAGTCCCCGGGCTGGAGCCGGACTCCGTGCAGGGACGCCAGCTGCACCACCACCTTCTCATGGGCACACAGCGGCCAACCTGGGTGCAGGAAGACCAGACCCCTGTACCTGGCCTGAGACAAGAGAGAAAGGAGGTTAGTAGTGGGCACGGCCATGGCCTGGGCTCCTCCGTGCCCTGGGTCTCCACCTCTCAGGGGAAGGTCAGTGACTGAGCTCCCACAGGGAAGGCGTCTCACGGGGACTGGGATGCACTGTCCCTTGGAACATAAAACAGGTCATTAGGACTAGAAGAATCATGGGCTTCTCTTTGGTTCAGGGGTCAGTTATAAAAACAATCGTATAGTTCTACCTGGAGGCTGGGGATAGGTGGGCAGGACAGGGGAGAGGAGGCTGCTCGAGGGTCACAGCCAGAGCCCACCAGGCGCTCCGAAGGGTGAGTTGTCGCTCAGAGTGGTTCCAGCCTGGGCAAGGGGCCGGGCGTCCACACTTGCCCCTGCCAGCCCTGGTCAGGACCACCCTAAGGGGGGCTCCCTCCTCTGCACTTCCGGTGTTCCCTGCGGCTCCCGGCCGCTGCGGGCGCTACCTCGGCCTCCTCAGCGAGGAGTGCGGGTGCCAGGATGCTGGTGAATTTCACTTCAGAATTTTCTCCGTTCCCTTTAAATAGCTGAGATCCCACTCCATTTACAACTGTGTACTTTAGCTATTTTCACCCAGCGTGATTTCACGAGCATTTCCTGTGCTGTTAGAAACTGCAGACAGATCACCTAACTGTTGGGTATTTATTTTCCCCAAATTTTGCTCTGACAAACTAAAATACAGTAAACATCTTGGGGCCTAGAGCCCCGCCTGGGTTTCAGTTGCTTCTAGAGAAGGGCCCTACTTCATTCTTTTGCATGTGGATATCCAGTTTTCCAAGCACCACTGATTGAAAAGACTATCTTCCCCAGTGAATAGTCTTGGCACCCCTGTAGAACATCACTTAGCCATATATGTGAGGGTTTATTACTGGGCTCTCTATTCCATTCCACTGGTCTTTGTGTCTGTTTTTATGCCAGTGTCACACTGCTCTGATTACTGTAGTTTTGTACTAAGTTTTAAAATCAGGAAGTGTGAGTCCTCCAACTTTTCTTTTTTTCAAGATTGTTTTGGCTCTCTGGGGGTCTCCTGAGATTCCACATGAGTTTTAAGATGGGCTTTTCTATTTCTGCAAAAAACACCACTGGGACTTTAATAGGATTGCACTGAATCTGTAGATCACTTTGGATAGTACTGACATTTTACTATACATATATATATA